CTTGTGGTGCTGGGGATAGAACCCAGGTCCCTTCACTTTGCCTAAGCAGGCCCTTTAGTCAGCTGAGCTATCTGTCCAGCCCCCTAAGATTCGTTCTTAATCCTGCTAGGTAAGGGGTATTATTACCAGTGTATATATAAAATTATTATGTTTTTGTTTTCAAGTTATCTAACATTCCACAAATAAAATTTAATTTGTGATAAGTAGCTTTTTATGAAGTAATTTTTAAGATTTAGTCTTTTCATTTTATTATGGTCCATATGTACTATGAAGTGTTTCTAGCAGACGAGGGACAAAGAACATTCATATAACTATTTTTGTCAGAATGTTTGCGTGGAAATGTGTGTATGTATCCAATCGCAGAGACTACATTTTCCCCTTGCTTCTGTCCGATCTGCAAAATATTACCCCAGTAATTACAAATTAAATCTGTACTTATAAAGTGAATTACCATTTGGTTACTGAATTGCTAAATATTATAAAAGCAACGATTATAAATAAACATCAGACTCTAGTTACAAGGAATTACCAATCTTTCTTATTTCAAAGAATTTTCTAATTGCATCCATTCATTAAATAAAAATATCTAAGATCAGCTTAATTATTATTTCTAAGACCAAGTTAGAAAGACTCCTATCTAGGATAATGATGTCTACATTGTAGTTCTTGAAGGCTTTTGGTGTGTGCCAGTAATCTCTTTGTTGTGTTTTACTAGATACCATGTGTTCTTATTGCTGGATTCCCATGGCTTAAATTGGTTCCTAACACATATTAACTGTCCAATAAAATTATCAAATGAATTCTAGAGTTTCGCATCATTTTGTAATTTTGCAGACTTAAAAAAAAAGATGGATAAAAATCAAATGTTAGTAGAGATTTTGATTATCATCTTTAAAAAATATCAGTTCAACACAGTAATTTCACCTGTGGAAATTATATATGAATGGTGTAAAAATTTTGTTATCTAAATCTTAGAAAATACAGTTTATTTAAAGAATATAGGCTTGATTACTTCAGATTGTTTACTTCAGAAAGAGCCATAGACTGTGCTAGTAACATTACTTGTATGATTGTTTAGAAGAAACATTTTTGGGAATATTATCTTACTGCTTATAGAGATGAGATAATTGAGATTAAATAGTGTTTTCCAAGTAACAGAGGTAGCAAGGGACGGATTTAGGATTGTTCAAAACTGTCTGTCTCTACTGCCATATGTAATGTACAAGAAACCAGAGAGAGCCAGTGAGATAGCTCAGTGGACTAAAGCACCTGCTTAGGCAAGTGCAGAGAACATGGTTTGATCCCCCGCACCACATGCCTTGCTAGCCCCACTCCCAGGGCAGGCTTAGCAGACCAGAGTCCAGGTGTAGTGGTGCATGCCTATAATCCCAGCGCTGGGAAGGCTGAAAGCAGAAGGGTCATTGTGAGTCCAAGCTGCACAGTGAGACGCTGTAACAACCAAATACATGAATGGATGAATGAATGGATGAATGAATGAATGAATGAATGAATGAATGAATGAATGATAGAAAGAATAAAAGCAGGGAGAAATCAGAGACAAGTGTTATAGGTCAGTTATGGTGAAGTGATATCTTTAATGAAGTGTCTAATAATCAAATACATTTTTTAACCTGGATGAACTTATAAATTGGGGAAAATATAGTTTCATTGATATTATGACCGGAAGAGAAAATTCACTGCATGGTGTTTTTCTTCTATGTTTGAGGAAGCATTGAAGGGTTCTGAGCAAGATGGTGGCAGGATCTGATTAGTTTTTATTGGTATTAATTTGTCCGAAAAGTAGATAATAGATTAGAAGGAGGAAGAATGAAGGAGGATTTGCAATAATCTGGCAAGAGATAATGACTGGAACAGTTCTTAGAAATGGTGATGATGAGTGTTGAATTTAAAATGAAATCTGAAAGTAAGAGTCAAGAGTATTTTCTGAATAAGTGGATTATCCATAGAGGTCATAAAAGTAGAAGAGGACAGAAAGAAAAAATAGGCAAGGTTGATTCCAAAGGTTTTGGCCTAAATAACTGGGAAAAAAATGAGAGTTTCCTGACATTGGGGAGAGAAACACATTCTAAAAAAGAAGGCCTAATGGAAGTTTCTGTTTGCCATTTTAAATTTTAGACTGGATATGTATCAACTGAGACACAAATGTGAGACCTGTTAATATACAGTTGACAAGTAATGAGATTGGATGAGACACCTAGAAGGATGAGTACAGGCAAGGCTTATGTCTGTGGAGACCTGAGGTGCTCCACAGCTTAGAGTGGAAGGTGGGAGTTAAGAGGAAAACCACAGTGGCTGAGGAAGAGCAAGAGCCAGGTAGGAGGATCAAGAGGGGGACTAAGTAGATGGCATGGCACATAAGATTGAGAAGTGACAACGGCATGTGCTATCGGGCAGTCAAGTCAACTTAATGACCTGGACAAAAGCCTGATCAGAAAAATATCACTTAAGAAAATTTTGAAACAACTGACTTAGAAAATATCAGAATTCTTCTTTCAGTTTTTGATTCTCATAGGCAGAGTCCTTTCCAGTTGCTATATAAATTTGAATGCATTATCCTATACTGTTCTATTTAGGTAATTTAGTTATATAAATGATTTCCATTCTTTTAACTGTCAGCATTTAATTATACAGTTGCCAAATGAAGATTTAAATAGTTTTACTTAATGCCCTTCCTATATTTGGTCTGTTGTTTTATGATGAAGAGGGCAGACATGATCTATGTAGACCAACCCACGGCAGAATTTGCCAGTTACCAGTACTAGTTATGCAATCTTGAGCAAAGAGTTAAATTCCTCCAGGTTTATTTCCTTATACGTATGATGATAAGCAGTAAAATTTTATATGGTTATGAAGATACAGTGAGAAAACATATATGAAGCCTATAAGTCAGACGTTCAGCAAATGAAATAATGTGGCAAATAAAGCTGAAGCACAGGTTCTAACTCAGGTAGCTCTGAGTTCAAATCTTCAAGTGCATTTGTAGTTGATTGGAAAACTTGGGCAAGTTCTGTCACCTCTCTTAAGCCTAAATTGCCTTATTTATAAAATGACTGTAATTCAGAGATTTATTTTATAAGGTTACTAGAATTAAGTGAGGTGCTATATGTAAAGTTCTTAAATACCTTAAACAAATTGAGCACCCTATAAATGGTAGCTATTGCTATTTATACTTATGGTTGTATTTATTATCCTTGTAATAATCATTCAGAAAATATAACCTTAAGTCCCAGCTTTTTAGCTCTTGAGTCTTAGTTTCTAATCATACCTGTTGACAAATATATAGTGTCAGTATTTGTTCGCTGCATATTTAGCTTTAAAATTATTTCACTATTCTCATCCTTTTCTAATGTTTAAAGTAATATATGGTGAGCTATCAGCTTGATTATCATTTTTAAAATTATCCTAGTCTCCACATAGCACCATCTAAATGGCAGGTCAGAAAAAATAAACAGATATGTGGTATGCTTCAGTACAGTTACTTTTAACAAAATACTGGGTGTCAATAAGGTATTTTCCTGCATGCATACATTTTGATCAGACCCATCCTTATGTTCTTCTTGTCTCTAATTCTTTTTCTCCTGCCTTGTACAATTCTCCCTTCCACTTTTGTGCCATCTTTTTTGTTGATTGCACATACTAGTACAAATATAGGATACATGCCTTTCTGGATCTGGCTTATTTCACTAAACATGGTGAACTTCAGTTATATATGAGAGGCTCTTTAGAAAGTATAACATGAATGAATCAGAAATGGCACTTTTACCCAATTTATCTGGAGCTCTGATTAAATAGTACAGCTCAGCATCCTTACAGATTCATAGCCATGACATGAATTACCAAGAAATTAAAGATGCAAACAAAGACATTTTAAATTAAGAGATAAAGAACAGACTTCACATGAAAATACTAAAACATATAGGAGACACAGAGAATAATGTTTTCTTCAAAAAAAGACCTTAGGAATCATCTAATTCATGTCCTGATTTTATTGCTGAGGTAATATTGAATTTATGAAAGATTTCATGACCTATTTAAAGGTCAGTAGGGAATAATTTTCTGACTTGTGCTTAAATCTTCTTGTTAAAACACAAACTATTTCATTTATTATCCCGAATAAAAACAAAAATCCTGAATAAAGGAAGATATTGAGAGGATCACTGGCTCCCTTCAGTGATATAGTTATGCATTCCAACTGATGTAAAAATTGAAGACTTTGGCTTATAAGGTGTTCTGTTTTTTCTCGTCCAGTATTGTTTTGTAAAAGAAGAATTTAAGCAAGAATTTGTATTTCAAACGAATGCATAGCAACTAATTTTCAAATGAAGATTAAAGGCAAAAATACTGTTGGAATCAGTTTAGAAGCAAAATATTCAAGAAGACTTATATCAGATTTTCTATAGTCAGTATCACGTATAGTCAATTGCTGTTCATCTTAGATGTTGAACCAAGTTGTCAGTTTCTAAATAGGATAAAATAGCTGTAATAATTTCATTTTGAAAAAATTAAATGGTCTAATGAAATTGTATACATATAAGGGTAACTACGTATTTAAAACATTTTGGTATGGTGGAAAAGTTATTTTCATGTGACCAATTTTTACTAATTTTCAAAGATGAAGAACCAGAAAGCTTATTTGGTCTGATATGTACCTTGTACCAGCAAGTACATTTTTACAGTAAACTGTAAAAATCATTACATTTTGTTCCTCTGTTTGTAATAAAGTTTTAAAGAAGTTACATTTACAAATGTGAATTTAATTTTGATATGAAACTGTTCTCTACATTTTATAGTTATATCATCAAATTGGTAGTTTGATCTGTTCCAGTTAACTAATAATTACTATATTTCAAAGAGTTCTAAATGGAAAATTAAGTTCTGTAACACATATTTCCATGGCTTGTCTTCATGACATAAAGGTAGAAAGTAACTGTGTCCTTCTCCCAGATAACTAAATGCTGTTTCTTTGTCTTGTCTTATAGAGCTACATTCATGGGAGCAGCCAGGCTCAGTTCGTGGCAGAATCACACATTATACTGGTCCTGAGTATCCTTCAAAATAACTGATTAATTAAAAAGGAGAAACCAGTGCTACAGCTATGAAAACGATTTTCTCGCCTAGTGATAATTATCAAAATATTTAAAAGAGATTAAATTTTAAACGTTTTTACTGATTTCTTCTCATTCTAATATTTCCTATTACAGTACAATTTCTTTGTTATGCTGAATTATTAAGAGACTAATTTTCTGTTTTTCATTATTGAGTGTAAAGTATTGCTTTTACTCTTCACCATTTATCTCTACCTCGATGTTGTGTGTGTGTGGTGTGTGTGTGTGTGTGTATGCCTGTGTTTAAGGGGATTTCTTCCACAGGATCAAGTAGGGAGGAGAAAAGTGCCCTGTGATATAAATGCAAGCATAGAAAAGGAGTTGGTGTCTATTTTCTGTGTGGAGTCACAGAAATAGCACAGATACCACGTAGTGCTCACAGATTAGTTACTTTAGTGTCACTTTGTTCTCCAGTTTCTCACCCAGCACTTTGCTGCTCAGCTGTAGTGGGCATGAGTACAAAAAGTGATTGCATTTTAGTATTTGACTAAGAAAAAAATAACAAAAATATTATACCTCCATGTTATCTGAATTATGAAACAGGACATGATGAAATTACTTACTTTTTCCAGGGTCAGATTAGTTAAACCTTTCATCCCTGTAAAAATTATTTTGTTTAATTGTGTCTATGAAGCAGGTGGCAATAAAATGCCAAGTATTTGTCACATATGCCTTCAACTTGTTTGTGTAGCCCAGCTTGGTCTTGAACTCACAGCAATCCCCCTGTCTCTGCTGGCATGGTGTAGGACTTTTGTAGTACACTTTACTATCAGTAGCAAGTCTGTAGCTCGTCAGAAGGGTGAGCACTAGGAAGCTGAGAGGAAATCATCGCTGCAGTGGATAGTAGATGCACTCCAGGAATGGAGCGTTGACATCAAGCCGAGATTGAAGATGGAAAGACCTTTCACAAACAGAACGAAATTGTCTGTATGGATTTTAGCAGTAGAGCATAAAATATGTGAAATCCTTATTTACATGCCAGCAGTAAGTATTTGCTACTTCACATATCCCATGCATTTTTATTTAAGAGATGTTTGTTACAAAAGGAAAATTATTTCAAAATCATGGACTTAAGTCTTTTTTAAAAATCCATTGTATAATACTTTCTTATTTTCATTTGGCATATTTTGGTAATATTTTTGAATTTATATACTATTTAAAATTTGTATATATTTTCCTTCATTACAAAACAAAGGGTAAATGGTGGATGACAACTTTTGTCTTATATAAAGAGTATTTCTACCTTTCTTTCATTCTTTCTAATTTAGTAAGTCAAATCATTAGATGCTGTTGCCCAATATGCCCTTTCTTAAAAAACAACATAAGAGAAAACTGAGGGAGTTGTTTAGTGTCCTAGGTTACAAATTCATGTTTATAATGAGTAAGTTTTTTTTTTTTTTATTTTGGAAATAATTTTATTTAAGAAAAAAAACAAACAGCCTAAGTAGGCTATGAGAAAAAAGCAGTGTGAAAAAGGAATAAAGAAATACCATATTTAGATGTGGAATATATTTAAACCATTTATAACTTACACAGTTCTTGTTTTTCTTAGTATAAGTTCATTTTTTATTTCATCTCTTTTTCTATAATTTCAGTATCTGATCTAAACAAAATCAGGATTTGGTGTTGTCGAAAGGTAAGGTTGATAGACAAACATTCATAACACAGAGTGACAGAGAGAGAGTTGAACAAATTGGTGTTGAAGGAAGTTGAATGGACTTTTCAGCTGGGATTTGAAACATACAAAAAGATTCGCAAGCAAGTTAAGGGAGAGAGAATAGCTTAGTAAGAGGTACTACAGGCTGAATCGTATATACTAGAAATTAGCTGCCTTATTCTTTATGAAGTATTCTAAGGCTGAGCACTGGATGTCTTGATAAGTTTGGCTGTGTGAAGTAAAATAGTGGCATATGTACCTCATTTAAGTGGTGAGAGTCTGCTGAGATTGACGGAGGCAGCAATGTTGAGATTGAAGTGGAGAGGCAAGAAAAAGACAGAGTGAGAGGCACTTAGAGTTTTGTGGCCATTAGGGAGAACCTTAACCTAAGCTAATGGTGAATGGCTTGTTGCTGTTGAAGAGCAAGAATTAAACTAAAACTTGATGATAGCTGTCGCACCTGATGTTGAAGGATCGGCATCACATAACTTCCAAGTTTGGGTAATGTGTTGGTAGGTAACACAGTACTAACAAAGAGGTACCAGAAGAAAACAAGGTTTGGAGAAAAATACGTAGCCTAACAAAATTCTTAAGATTGATATGCTTTATGCATACTTGATCAAGAGTTCAGGGCTTTTTTAAAGGTATATAATTAAGATTGTAATCCAATCAATTGAAGAGTCAAGAACTTAAATTTTTCAACCTATTTTTATTCTGCTCAATAATTATTTTCCCAGTAAGTCAAAATCTCTGTTCTGAATAGGCCAGTAAGAGTCTCTCAAAATTATATAGTGAGTTAATTGTTTAGAAAAGGTACAGTGGTTAAAAGGTTTGTTTGTTGTTAAGGTTAATGCTTTTCATTGATGGAAGACAAATTACCTACCATAAGTCCCTAGAAATGTGAAGATTCCACATCTAACTATAGAATAACAGTTTGTCTTCTGCCATTAGACTGATGAGCGTAGCAGTCTCGCTGTGCATTATTGAAATGTCCCAATATTAAAAGAGAATAAGAGATGAGCCTCCAGCCTCCTACCCTCTGCACACTTCTAGTCCCGGTTTATGAACTAGTTTGCTCATGCTCATCAGTAGAACAACACAGACTTCAACTGCTATGCACACTCTTTGCTTATCTTGTTGATCAGTTTTCTTAGTCTAAAAGGTCAAAATAGTGACACAATCCCACGTAAAATAAGCTGCAATTTGTGTATATATGCAGTAGTTACAGACCCTGAACATTCTGTAGAACTCACACATTTATATTAATTCATTCTCATTTGCACATGGTGATACATATATTGTTGCTTCTCAGAAGGGAATTGTGATTTTATTAAAGATAAATGAATACAGATCTTTAAAAAGTTACTAGCACATCACAATGGGATCTGAAACAAAATTTTATTTAACATTCAACATTAATTTCCTTTTGTTGTGTGTTTCTCCCTGAATATAAATATTTGCTCTCTGTTACAGATCAGAAACAGAGTATTGTTTTTCCTGATAAGTAGGAAATGTATTGTGATATTTCAAAGAATTCATATTTTAAAGGACCTTACACTCATTGCTAGTTATAACCTTGGTTTCTATGTGAACCCTTTTATTTCCCACTGACATTTGATACCATCTTTGATCACAGAACTTAAGGAATGTGGAGAATTAAGAGACAGTGGCAAGTGACAGGTGATACATTTCACAGTCGAGCTGATCCTAGAGCTCACGTGTGCTCTTCCCACTGGCACCCACAGACCTCCTCTTGGTAAATTCTTGGGAAGCATTCCTGTCTACCACAAGAGGACGTTCATCATGGTTTGGTCTGGTTTGAATTTTAAAGTTTTAAATGACATTAACTTGAGTGCTTATTGGTAGAAACAATTGCAGATTAGTAGATAGTAAGATAAAACTTTCTGAAGATGTTTCTTGAAGTATGAAATTGTTGGGCTTTTTTAGTAAAAATGAATCATTACTTTCAGTTATGTGTCTATTTGCTGTGTTTGTAGATATGTTTAGTTAGAAAAGAAGATTATTAGGTGTTCATCAAAGCATACATGAAGTTTTGAATTATAATTCTAAATCACTATATATTCTGCCTTAATTTTATTGTGTCATCACTATAAATTGTTTGAAAATTGTTTTATATATAATATCATAAAAGATTTCTTATATATGTTTATTCATCAAATTATGGTTTCATAATTTTCCAGTTAAGATCTGTATGCCTCAAATGATTATTACTACATTTTGGACAGTTGCAAACCTTCATAAGAACATAATTAGTATTAAATAATTATTTGCAGAATTGTTTACAGCCTAAAATCTATAACAAAATTTTTAAATAATTATAAACTGCTATTTTCAAGCTGTCTCTTCATTTAGATAAATATCAGGGATCCTGCCAGGTTTCACAAGGAGAATTGGCAAGTTTTAGGCCTTGATCTATTATATAACGTGCACACGCACACACACACACACACACACACACACACCCCACACAAATTTGTTTATATGTCCGTACATATCTTACCTCTTATAAACCTCAAACACCTTATTCATATTTACATCAGTTGTTGAAATATATGTGATAATTTGCATTTATGTGGTAAATTCTTGTAGCTTAAGATTCCTATTTTGGGGTGTGGTGGCACATGCATGGTTTTTATTTGTTTGCACCTTTTACTAACTAGCTTTGTAACTTTGAACAAATTATTTAGATTTCTCTGGGCTTCAGCATCCTTATTTGTAAACTAATAATAATAAACACAATTTCTGCCATTTGTGAGCTAACTTCATAGTAACAGGAAAAATAAAAAAAAATTTAAGATACCAAGGCTGAACTTTCTTTTACCTGTGTTATAGATTAAAATGAGATAAAGAAAATTGGCTGGTATTATGACTTATATCAAAAATGTCCCACCAGGTTGACCCATGCCCAGAGGCAGGCCTTTGGGGGACAGTGTAGGTGACTTAGGTGAGACCCAGTCACAGTTCATCTCCTTCACTGGATCCTCCCTTTCACCATGACTGAAGCAGCTATTCCTCCACCATTCGTGCCCTCTGTTCTACCCCTTGCCTTGAAGTGCTGCTGACTGTAGACTGAATACAGGTGGGCTTCAAGCTTTGTGCTTCAGCTATGAGCAAAGTGACAAAGATAGAGGTAAAAAGAAAACAAAAGGCTTTTCTAATAAGATCATTTGGATGGAGACCTGGGATGCATAAACAGTGAGCTGCAAGGACTTCCAGGGAAAAGCATTTTATGCAGTGGAACTAGCAAGTTCAAAGACCCTGAGGTTCAGGAGGGCCTGGCTTGGTGAACAAAGAGAAGGGCAGGAGTAAAAGCAAATGAGAGTAGGGTTGTGTAAGCAGTAGATTGAGGTCCAGATCATGAACAGCATAAAGTCATTTTGAGATCCTTGTGCATTGCTCAGAGGGGAATGAAAAACTATTAGAGTGAGAAATTACTGACTTACTTTCACACTGTTACAAGAAAAACCTAGAGAATGTTTTACACGTAGGAATAGAAATTAATTTCATGAGCAAGGAACAAGAAACAACTCATGGAACGAAAGATTAATGAGTCTGGCCACATTAAAATGAAGCCTTTTGTATGACAAAACAATTTAAAAGACAAAGTAGGAAAATCTACATGTAACACTATAATCAATTTTTATTGAGATAAAAAAATGAAGATGTCATATAAATAATGAGAAAATGAAGATGTGCTTAAATGGGCAAAGGAGAATAAACAAGCAGTGTGAAAAATTAAAAATGAAGACATCAATACATGTTCAGACTCAAAAGGGAGCTATTAATACCACTCCCCACTTGCAAGTTAGATTAAATTAATATTCTACCAGCAGTACTGTTATGGAATTATAGGGAGGGATTACATTGCTCATTTTAGGTAATATGATTATACCTCATAGCTTTGAGGAAATGGATATACTCAGTCCCTCAAGAATTCTATCTCTAAATGTAGACCTTAGGAAAGATATCGTACGTTTATACTTGGAGGACTATAAAAGAATGCTGTCCTGGATATAAATTTGGGTTTTATTTTCAGTTTTTTTATTACATGTTTACAGTACATACTAATGACATTGAGCATGCAGAGTAGGTACCGGTGCACAGTGTATCTGCATTCTGTTTTCATCCCTTTGCCCTCCCATCTCTTGGTCTGTACCATTTACAAAAGATCTGTCTCCCTGTTTTATTTTACTTGTATTTTATTTTGTTCTTTGTCTATTAGTTTGGGTTTCTCAATTTAATAATCAAGAAATATTTAAGCTTGCATAACTGATTTATTTCACTTAACATTAGTCTTCAATGGGCATTTACTTTCGTACAAATAACTAGATTACCTTTTATAGTAAGGTAGTACTCTGATTTGTATATGAATACCACATTTTCTTTATCCGTTCATCTGTTAAACATACATGCCACTTGTGAGATTTAGCTATTATGAATTATGCTGCTACGAACATAAGTACTCTTGTATAACTGTAATATGATATCTTTTATTCATTGGGGAAGATTCCTAGAAGGGTAATAGCTATTTATAATAGCAAAAAATTGGGAACAGCTTGAATATTATCAGTAAGACGATGAAGTATGATGTGTTATATACCTTGGCAAATCTTAAGAATAATTTCCTTTTATGATATGTGAAATCCAAAAGCAATTAAGATGAGAAGCAGATTACTCAGTTTTCAGCATTGTAATGTAACACTTCAGAGAGGTAGTAGTAAGAACAGAATGAAGCATACCTGCAAGGAATATTCAATAAAATCTATTTTAGCTAATGTACTTTTCTCAAAGATTATATCTACATGGGTACATTTGTAAACATGCATATTTTGTGTATACACATTTGTGTAAAGAATGTGACACTGAATATACTTCGGTAGCTTTATGATCATTAAAATTGTCAAACAATTTTTTAAGCTTTATTCTCTTCAGAAATAGAAATCATCTCATTTTCCTCAGTTTTTTTTTTCCTGAAAATTTCATAAATTTATTTATTTATTTTTGCAGAACCGGGAATTGAACTCAGGCCCTTGTGCTTGCCAGGGAAGCATTTATTCTATTGAGCCATATCCCTAGCCACTTCCCCATAGTTTTATTAATGGTGTTAAGGAGGCTACTTAGCAGATAGGATCATTAAGCTAATGTTTCTTATTAAAGAAACATTAAACATTGTATATGTATGAATTATAAATGCTTTTAAAATCATCTAGGTTTTTTTTTGTCATTAAAATACTCTAGAATTCTGTATAAAATACCAAATGAAATATATGTAACTCCTTGTGAGGAGTGAATGTAAGTCACATCTTGCTGCTCAAAAAACAGTTACTTGAACCACTGACATGGGACCATTTTTAGTGTACAAATTTTAAACTTTTCCATCATTTTGCTGTTAGAAGTTCCCAGTGGTTTTGGATTCAGGAAACTGTGTGGGTAAATGATCTAAAACACTTGAATATTTAATCCGTAACGTCTACAGACTTAGACAATTCTCATACTGATTCAGAAATCAAGTTCGAGTTTACCATTGGGAACTCAACAACTTGGAGACCCTGTTTTAAAAATAAATAATATATATAGTACAAAGTCCTCGGTTCAATCCCCAGGACCCTGCGTTAATGGCTAGAGGGCAGTGTAACTTTATAATATCTGTTGCTATGTGATTGAAGCTCAAAAAGTCAGCAAGTATCCAAAATTTAGTGGTTTTTTAAGTTGTGCATAATGAACTGTTCGACATTTAGTGTGAGTGATACCTTGGTTCACAAACAATTTGTTTCATAGCTACAGAAAAGATAGCACTAGTCGTGTTTCACAACTGAGGCAGAGTTTATAAAAAAAAAAAAAAAAAAACAGCAAAATCTTGGCAGACACTTCTGTTTGTGAACCAAATTGTTCATAAAACTGTTTGTGGACTGAGGCACCACTGTATGTGAGCATGTGGTGGGAAGGGCAGCTGCACATGAGGCTCTGTCTTATGTGTGTGAGACTTCAAGGGTTTTCTTATTTGCTATTTGTTGGAAAATGTTTCAGTACTGTAAATGATGTAGCAGGGAAATTATTTCTGCAGACATCAGTGTAAGCATAAATTCCTAACTAGAAGGATTTAGCTATTTATTGTTATATAGGTGTTCTTTATTATGCACAAGTTGAAAATTGTCTTGCAAAGACAATCTTAAGTTTTACAGTTATTAAATAAAAGAAGTTGTGTAAGGTGGTCACCAAAATTATCATCACTGGAGAAATATTTACTCTGTAAGATGTTGACCTCTTCTCAATTCTGTGCACATAGCTCACAGTATCTTTGGGGCTTCTGCTATTAAAGGTAGAGGACACACCCTGCACAGACTTACTGATGCTATTTGCACATGTGCAGCAGTAGAGATGTAGGAGAGACACTAAAATTAACTAAACTAACTGAGAAATTTCTGGCTAGAGTTATTTTAGTCTTTTCATTTTCTAAATCCATTAGCCATTTGGGGTGAATAAATAATAAATATTGCCAGATTTGGTGGATTCCAGATCTTCACAGTAGCAAAGTAAAAAATAATAGTAATAATAATCATAAGAATAATAATATCACAAAGAATGATCTTATCAACCTGAAAAGCTCTTACCATTTTTAAAATCTGTAGCATCTTTCAGCATGGCTTGAATAAATCCCCTCATAATTCTGCAAGTAGATATTAAACACAGAAGATTTTTTTCAGTTTTTATTATTTTGATTAATATATGTTCACAGTGCATAATGATTACTTCTGTGTTCTCATTTTTATATTTTATCTAGAGATTCTATTAAATTGTCATTTATTATACTGTACTTCTTTAACTGTGTTAAGGTTATAAGTTAATACTCAAATTTTCTAAGTGGGATACCACCTGACTTCAGTAAAACTTTAATCTATGAAGACAATTTTTTTTTTTTTCCTGTACCAGGGATTAAACTCAGGACCTTATGCTTGCTAGGCAAGCACTTATTCTACTGAGCTATCTCCCCGGCCCTGAAAAACACATTTAAACTATAAGTAAAAGTATGTTTGCATATAAGCACCTACAGAGAAATACCTCATGAAAAAGAAAAAGAAAACATTCTAATTTTCTAGGATTGCCTTCAGTGAACTAAAAGAAATTGGTGGCTATCTTGTTCAGTACATTCAATTTTATTTTTCACAACAAAACTCTTCTATTTACACTTTTGTAAAGTTAGTTACATGTAACACTAGGTTGCTTAACAACTGATAGCAAGCCCCTTAACAGACAGGATGTTCATCTCAGGAGTGAGGTCACTTGTTTGCTTTAAGCACTGGGCTAAGTCCCACCTACATATATTTGATTAATTTCCTAGCTTCGTGGCTCCCAACATAGCCCCCTTGTCCGTTTTGTTTTTTCATAGATGGGTGTTCCACTGCAGTTAGAGAAGGTATATTTGGAGACGTCTTTAAAGGACCTTTTCATAGGATTGCCAATGAAATGTGTCATTGTACCAATAAGTAATATCTATTTTTATGTGTAATGTGAAATGCTGTTAATAGTTTTGAAAGTCTGTATAATTCATATGAATTGTAAAAGTTCTGGAACTGAAGACCATTTAGAATTAAAATTGAAATTTTAGATTACACATTTAAAAAAATAATACATACCCAGAAATGGTACTTTTGTGTCATTTAAAGAGAATCAATTGCATCTACCTTTGCTTTCCTTTCTGTTTTAGCCATTCTGGAACATTATGAGATCCAGAGAATTATAGATTTTATTTTCATCTATTTCTACTGTTTCCTTGACAACTACTGCAGATGCAGCTATCACCATGGGGATGGTTCTTCTAAATGAAGCTGCAACTTCCAAAGGTGATGTTGGAAAAAGACGGAGTAAGTCTCTGTTGGTGTTTCATTCTGTTTTAGTTACGATGCATTTAAATGGGAAATGTAGAAAAACTCTTTTTAAACATAAACATGTTAGGATCTTTTCTGGTTTAAGAATGTCAAGGTGTTTCTGTTCTTCTGTATCCTTGGATATATGTGTGCATGCACTTAAAAATGCATTTCTTCCAAACATGTAGTTTTTCTTCCAAACATGGATTTGGGTGGGTGTCTGTGTGATTACATAAAAGAAAAGGTGTCTCTACCCTTATTAGGGATGCTGTGATCCTTTCTGCTGAAGTTGTAGTCTTTGTTTTAGTATCCACCACACAAGGAAGAACAGAATTTAGTAGATAGACTCCTCAGAAATTTTTGTGGCACAAAATACGTTTCTTATGCCTTGAGAATAAAATATGAACTAGAAGGCGGATCCAGTTATATCTTCTGTGTACTCAAACATTATGTTGCCTTCAGGTCCCCGTAGACTGTGTTTTGAACACATTCGTAAGCATTCTGTGATACTGCATTTTCTAAGGGCTGTGCTTTCTCCATCAACTCACTAACATTTGCAATTTCATTAATTTCTCACTTTATTTTTTTAAGCAAGTTAACACTGTCCTTTGACAGGACTGTTCTCAGAGTTGAGAGTCCAAAATATAGTGTCCTAATATAATAACTTTTAGCCGCAAAACAAATACATGGGATATATCTTCTGCCTCAGGTTTAGGAAGGACAGAGGTCCATGGAATCAGTGTTATCTACTGCAGATCTTTATATAATTTGAATATCAAGTCTGTGGTCCATGGAATCAGTGTTATCTACTGCAGATCTTCATATAATTTGAATATCAAGTCTATGTGGTCTTATGGTTATACTTCTATAACCATCTTGTTAAAACTTTTCTCAATACACTTTACATATCTGAACTCTTTTTAAAACCCAAAACTTACATTTAAAAACACGAAAATTTAAGATTTTCAAGGCCAGACATTCTCCTTTTGGACCTTTTTTTTTGGCGGGGGGGAGGTCTTGTTATGGGTTCAGGCTGCCCTTGAACTCACTGTGTAGTTCAGGTTGACCTGGAATTTTCTGCCAATCGTCCTGCCTCAGCCTTCTGAGCACTGCGATTACAGCTCTATGTTATCACATGAGGCCCTCATTTTGAGATTTTTGCTTCGTGGGATGTAAAGGTAAATGAATCATAGTGATTTCTGAATACTTAAAACTGTTGTGTGCTGAAATGTTTGGAAGTAATGTGCAGTAGAGAGTGCCCTCTTTTTCCATGGTGCCATCTGGACACTGTAAAGGAATTGGAAGAAGTGAATGCATTACTTTATTAGTTAAACACTATTGAGCATCATTGCATAGTGTATTCTTTGAAATAAAAGAATGTTCTTACGGTTGATGAACTATGCATATAAGGATATAGTCTTACTGTATTCATATATTTATCTTAGGTCATGTCATGTTAAGGTAAATAATAGTAAGAAATACTTAGTAGTAACTTTTAAATCTTGTGACATTTGTGATACTGAGTATAAAATCACTACTTCTGACTTGAGAGATGTTTCCATTGCAATTCCTATTCCCACTCACCTCCGAAGAGTGTGTGTGTGTGTGTGTGTGTGTGTGTGTGTGTGTGTGTAGGCACAAAGGGGAAGAGCATACACATAGGCAGAGAAAAGTATTTTTAAATTGTTCCTTTTTGATTGTGATATGACTTGGTTTTAGCATCATGTGCAGCTATGATTTTTAATATCACTGGGGTCAGAGTGCTGCCCCCTCACCTGGTACTTTTTCCCTACAAATTGTTGCCTTGTATGGTTGGACTGCTGTGGGTCAGTTGTTTGGAGGCCCTCTCTGTTACCTATACATAACTACTTAGTAGAAGTCTTTGTGCCACTGTACAAAATGAAGTAAATAGATTCTGTTTTTCTTGCTCACATGTTTTGAGCTTTATTTCCTGTTGAGCCCAATGCAGTGAGGGTATCCACCGTAGCAAGGGAGTGAAGTGTTTCATGCCTCTTGTGAAAAATAAAGAAAGGAGACAATATAAAAGGAGAAAAGTTGACTAAAACATCAGCCAAGGAGTTAAAATTATAGCATTCTAGGTTCTGTGAAATTGTTGCAAGCAGTTTGTTAAATACCGTATCTTGGGCCTACTTTTTGTCATGCTTGGATAGTGTATGAGTTTTTAGATTTTTTTTTTAAATTTTGTGATATTCAGCAATTTTTTTTTACCTTTTCTGCTACTATTCATATGAAATTCAACTGTGTGAGTGTGTGTTATCTAAAGTGAAATATGGGGCAGGCCACATAGCTCAGGGGATTAAAGTGCTGCAAGCAGGTGCAGGGGCCGGGGGTTTGATCCCTGTGCATCGTGCCAGCGCTGCCCCCAGGACCCACTGAGATGGCATTTGAGACTGGGTGTGGTGGTGCATGCCTGTAATCTCAGCTCTTGGGAGGCTGTAAACAGGGGGATCACTACGAGGCCAGTCTAGTAGTGAGACCCTGAGCCCCCTGTAGACCCTTCCCTAAAATAAAAAAAATAAGTAGAACACCACAGAGGCTGCATTTAGATGCTGTTATTAAATGTTTATAAAGTTTCATAATCTCTGCTTAAAAGTTTGAGAATGACTCTCTAACTTTTATTTATTGATTGATTGATTGCGGAACCAGAGATTGAACTCAGGCCCTTGCACCTGTCAGGGAAGCGCTTATTCCACTGAGCCATCTCCCCGGCACCCAACTCTCTAAGTTTTTAACCCCAGAGTGAAATAAAAATTGACTGGCAAATTAGTAGACTGTGTTATGACGGTGCTATACCTTACTACACCCTTATTCTGAGGACTCTAAACTCAATCTCATTTATATGCTTGAACAAAAATGTAAATCATTTCATCATTATAGAAAAATAAAGATTTATTTTACTTGTCTTCTCCTTTATTTTAGTCTCTTGTCCTTTTCAAATAAAAAGTTCAGGTATTTCAAAGGTTTATTTTTTTGCAATTATCTGAAATTAAAGGATATTAAGTATTAGCTAAATATTTTATTTTTAAACCATGTGTAGTTATTGTCTACTGACCAATAATGTTAACATCTAACTTTAGAATAAAATCCAGTAAAATGTATTTATATATATATATTTTTTTTTTCATTCCAAACATAGCTACATTTAATTGGTTCGAATTTTTAAATATTTAAATTTTATGAGCATGTTTACTGACAAGGAATCTTTTTATGTAATTAAATGTCAAAAATACATATACAGCTGGATGGTTAAGGCCACGTTAAAGCCAGACCTATGCAACAAGAGTTGTAGCTTTTGGATCTGGTAAGGTCAGTGAAATCCCCTCAGGATTTATCCTGAGATCCTGTACATCAGATTGTAGATCCTTTGTCAGTGTCACCAGTATGGATGAGTCACGGCCATTGCTTGGCCAATGTGCTCTCTGTGAAAGCCTGAGAGAATGTTTTCTCTCCTTCTGACTCTCCTTAAGCACACTCTACATCATGGATCACTGTCCTGTTTGGCCCCTTAATCTCTTTGATCAGAAAATTTGGGACACTACTGAGTTACATGATGTTATAGTACAAGTTCTCATATGTCCTGAGTCTTAATTGACCTTGGAACGCTAGGGCCACAATGTTGGCTTTCCTTGTGGCCCTCCTTTTTCTGTAATTTTGGTCTGCAAATTTAGGTTGTTAACCCTCCAGAAGAGAAGCTTATTGTTATTACCATACAACCTAGGCTGTTAAGCTTAACATCACTATCTGTCTGAATGTCAAACATCTTAGGCATAACATAGAACAGGTATTTCTCATCAAGAATTGATATGTTAAATTTTAAGTCCCTACAGAATAGGATGAAAAAACATTTAAAAATTATAAAAAATATATTTTAAAAATAGGCATAAAGAATTATATAATTCTTATTTTTACACATAAGTCCAGAAATCTAAACATATACAACCTTGAAGCAGGACAGTCCCATGTATCTGTGTATTCAAAATGGTTAGGATAGATATATAGTTACATTCTCTTAATGAATAGAGGGATTTGTTCTAACGGTTTTTGTAAATAGGATATCATGTCCGCATCTTGTACAGCAAATAACCACTAGGAAGAATGTATGCAATGTGGTAATTATTGAAACTGTCCTACCAATTTAATGTGAAACTGTCTCATTTCTATTTGTTTCTCAATAAAATTATGGAAAAAAATACATATACAAAAGCAATCTGTTAGTATATTGTTCATCTTCTGGAGTCATAGCTTCTCACCCATGATAAACAAGAAATTTAAGAAATAATTTCCCAATTTTCATCTTTCTTGAGCCAGAATGACAGTGAAAGCCTGGCCCGTGGCACATGCTCCTGTGGCCTGTCCCTCTGTTCTTTGTAAGTCACTGCAGTGCTCCACTTTCACTGACTGCAGAGCGGCCTCCCTGCCTTTCACGCTTGCTGAGACCATCTTTTCTTACTGTCCCAGCTTTTCTTTTCTTACTGTCCCTGCTACACACAAAGATGAGCTCCTGGAGAACAGGCTTTTATTGAGGCAGTACTCTAGCTAATGACTTAAATTTGTATTTCTTTTGGAACACTGCATGACATTTGGCAAAGAATAAAATATATATATTTAGCATTATGATATGCACATGTTCCTGCTTTTATAGCCAGTGCTTCGTAATGCAGGGGCTGATAATCTTGTTTGTGGTTTATCTCCCATATTGTTCTGCTTTGATTCATCTGGAGCATGTAGTACTTATAGGAAATGTGTAAGAGAAGAAAACCACTAGAAGACTTAGGACAGTCACTGTGTTGTTTTCATACCCAAAGAGTACATATTCATTGAGAAGAATGTGGAAAGTATTGAATTATATTGTGGATTATCTGGTTTGTTGTACCTGTATGTGCCATGAACTAGTAAATGTAAGTATTATGTAATTGAATGCACTTTTAAAAAATAAACATTCAGATTACCATTTGCATGTTTTTAGAGACTAATAGTGTTTTCTTTCTCTTTCTAGTAATTTGCCTAGTGGGATTAGGCCTGGTGGTCTTCTTCTTCAGTTTCCTACTTTCAATATTTCGCTCCAAGTACCATGGCTATCCTTATAGGTAATAGCTTTATACTAATGTGAATTTTTTTCATTTTAACTAATAGAATTTCAGTAGTTAACATATAATTAAAGATTAATATAAGGTAGCTAATTCATCATGTGATTGTATATTCTATTAAGCAATTCTTTGAGCACCTACCATGTGTTAGGCATAATAGGCTTTATTTACAAAGGCAATATAAGGCACATTGTGTTCCAAAGTAGGATATAATTTTCATTTTATGAACATAACAAAACAAGTTTTAAGCTTTATGTACTTCATCTACTTTCCTTTTCTCTGTCACAATTTTTAGTTCATGTGCAAGATTGTTTTTTCACATAATCTATTCTCAGTGTCATCTTTTGAATTTTGCAAACTTGTGATTTTTAAAAGACCTTTCCTTCTGAGGTAGTAGAAGCAATGCTATATTGATAGAAAATAAAATTTCATCACATCTTACCTTCCTCGTGAGACTCTTAGACCTGTAGACCATGGAAACAGTATAGCATTGGCTTTATCTGAAGGGCCAAAAAAAAAAAAATCACTTCGAGAGGAGATCTGAGTGTGGAATTAAAGTTGAAGAACAAGACTCTCCTGCCTCATCTTGCTGTTTTCTCACAAGACAAGAGCGACATGTCATTCTTTCTTGCTCACATTCTAAAAATAAATATTCCATGGGAATGGAAGGATTGTGAGTATCAGGTCTGAGCTGCAGGACCATCTGCCCTAAACCTAACCTAGAGCAGAAACGAATTTTTAAAAATACCATTGTGGGGACAACAAGAATAATAAGAAAAGCAAGTGTTGTCTTCCATGTTGTCATTTTATTCTTGATATTAATCATCGAATTTTGGTTCTGAAATTGTAAAATGAACTAATTAATCAAATACGAGATTAATGCCCAAGAAAAGATTTAAGTTTTGTTTTTTTCTTTTTCTCTATTCTGGGACTGAGAATCCTGGTCCTGTATGATTTATGTTCGTTTGATACACCCATGTTCTATAATAGACTCTGTAAATCCAGTGAAATGGAAATATTTTGTTTTTAAGTCTTACAGCTAGAATTAAAAAAAAAATTTGTATTAATTCATTTCAGTCTGCAGCATTCAAGGAATGTCAAAGGAAAAGTTGTGTCTCTATTTTTGTGATAAAGGTAAAATACTCTAGGAACTGTCATTAGATTCTCAAACCTTCTATGTGATGGTCAGGAGGTAAGGAAAGGCAAACTCCAGTTTTCCTCGCATTTCAGAGCATGCAGTCACACTTGACCGGCATTTTCTATGTAGATTTTTCTCTGTTATAGCAAGGTAATTACCAGGGAAAGAGAAATAAGTCAAGTTTTATTAGTTTTTTATGATGGTATTACATTTGACAGCAATGTTTTTGTTCCAATGTGAATAATTTTCAAGTTTGTCTTTTTTTCTAAGAAGTAGTTGTTGTTTAGCAAAGGCCTGCTGATACCCTGGGCATTTTTTAAAAACAGGGTAAGCATAACTGGCTACAGAGCTTTATAAAGTTCATATTATAGATTTTATGCTAGATATACATAGCAAGCAGATCTGAATCAGATATCATGCCTACATGCTTAATTTCAATCTCCTTTTTGGAGGTTTATTTATGGGGTTGACCATGTGGTTTGGGTTTTTTTGAGACAAGGTCCACTATGTAGTTCATGCAAGCATTGACATCACCGTGTAGTTCACTGTGCCTCCAACTCAGGGCAGTCCTCCTGCCTCAGCTTCCTACGTGCTGTGATAATGGGCCACCACACCTGGCCCATTTCAGATTTTTTCTCCTGCAGTCAGTCACACCACACCCCCTTATCAAGAGATGAGCTTACCTTCAGCTTGCATGCCTCATAGGGCTGGAAATGGTGCAATCTCCTCGACAAATACAGAGCTGGAAGACATGCCTTTGCAAGAGTAGTTTGTGAATATGAAACTTGTCATTGTTCAGGTGAAACCCAGTAAGAAGCTGCCAAGCAGCAGAGAGAGAACAGAGCCTAGCAGAGAAGCTTGGGAAATACTGGTCAGCTAAGCAATGTGGCGTGCAGTGTGGAAGTGGAAGGCCAGACATTTGTTGTGCTGCTTGTTGTGTTGACCAAATTCAACAGCCTAAGTATAGTTTTGCTGCTCTGTTATGCAATTTTAGATTCAGGTAGCCAAGAGCCAATTAAGCCATTTTAAATAATGGAAGGTGCATTACAAAGATAGGTTGAAATGAAGGACGCTGAAAAGCTAGTTGCCATACAACTAAGTTTCAACAGATTTTGCAAAGATTCAATAGACAGGTCACTTAACAGCATAAATTCATCACTGGTATCCTACCTCCCAGAATCAGCTCACTTATTTTTACATCTTAGTTCTTCTACTGCTGTTGCTGCTAATTTCTTTATATTCCTCTCTCCTCCTTTTCAGTAAATTGAAGTTATTTCTCTGCCTTTGTTGCCCATTGTACAACCACTTTCATTCATTCCTTATAGTTTATGAACTTTTCTAAGAAAAGGGGATTGATGGGTTATATATGTGGCTGACCAGTATGGTACATAGGAGAAGAACTTTCCTGCAGTCAACCAAAAAAGGAGAACTTTCCTGCCAGTCAACCACACCTGCCTTGGTCCTACTCATCTGTTACTGGTAGGAAAGAAAAAGTATTTTGTATCTTTCAAGATCCAAATGATTATGGTAGGGAAGACATTTTTCTTCCACTTACTGTTTAAGGTTTTTAGAAGAATCACTGAAAACTTATTTTCCTTAGTATTTTTTTCCATTTGTATTACAGCTTCTCTGTGAAAGAGAAACTTTTGCTAGGCATGGATCTCATGTGATTCCACTTTAAAAGTAAATTTTATTTAACTTCTTTCCTTGAAGAAAAATTTTGAAAAAGAGGAAAACTTACTGCCAGGGAGATAGCTCACCAACACAAGTGCCTGCCTAGCAAGCTCAGGGTCGTGAGTTAGATTCCTGGTACCGAGAAACAAAAAAAGAAAGAAAGAAAGGAAGAAAAGAAAAACTGAAACAGCAAATATGAATTTCTGATAAGCATATCCTTGTAATTAAATAACTGTTTTTTAGGTTTGTATCCTCTGCTAGATATAAACTCTGAGCAGAGATCCGATTTCTCATTTACTGCTTTTCTCCAGATTCTGGGCGTAGAATAGCACATATCAGGCAGCGCAATGAATTGCACAGTGCAGTTGAATGCATTAGAACAAGAAAATGTGTTTTGGCTTCCAAGATGATCTTCATAAATGAAAAAATACATAGAAAGATTTTGTTCAATAGGAGAATTATAGCATTTGAAAGAATAGGTTATCAGTACATGACCTAGCATCTAATTAAAGGCACCATCTTCAATTTTCTCAAATTTGCATGCAAATGAGAATTATGTGCACATATTGGTTCTTGCCCACATATTTTCATAGAGTTATGAGTACAGTGGTATTTTACTAAGGCAGAGAGCAACAAAACTGATATAACCAAAACTTAATAGCAGAGATGAGAGCTTGATGTAGTGGTTGTTTAAAAACAATTATGCAGATCAAGTTGGTTGTCTCAGGTACTATAAAAAAGCTATAGTGTAAAAGCTATAATTTTGTTAAGTATTGTTACAGTAATAAACACAGTGTTGGATATAAATGTAGATATGCTCTGGGTTGTCAGAAAATTTTACTTTTCTTAGTATATATTGTTTATATTTTAGTTTTCATATATGCTAGCTAATCATCTGTTACCTGTGTGCTGTGGGGGTTCTGTTTAGATTGCTGTTTCTAGCTTTCTGTAACAGCATCTATAGTAGAAATTTTCTAGATTGTGCAGTCTCATCATATGAATCCTTAACATTGCTTTCATTGTACTTAGATGCCCATTACACTGACGTAGAATACAGAACTCATTTTTCTACAAAACAATCATGATTTATTTCCAACTAGGATGATTTCACCAAATAATCACAGCTGGAATCAGTTGTGCTTTTCCAAACTTCTTTATCAATAAGTAAAGAGAATTTAAAACATCTATAACTAAGGCTAATTAGCAAATCTTGGAATTTACTACAGTTTAAAATTAGCCAGATTCCACTAATTTTTACTCTTATTTCAATCCATTAATGCATAATGGATCTATTGAAATTGGGCAAATAAAAGTTTACCTGTACAGTATTTGCTCTAAGTTCTCTAAATTGCATGTTACTTGAATAATCCACACGTATACAAACCTTTTCTTTATGCATACTGCCCTGTTTGAAATGTTCTCTCCTCCTCCTCCCCTCCCCTCCCGTGTCCTCTCCCCCACCCCTTCTTCTTCTTTTTCCCTTTTTTTTCCCTTTTTTTTTTTTGAATGTTCTTGCCCTGATAGCAAATATCTTCTTAGAACCAATTCTAGGGGGCCGGGGAGACAGCTCAGTAGAATAAGTGCTTGCAAGCGCAAGGGTCTGAGTTCAGTCCCTTATTCCACAAAAAAAAAAAGAAAGAAAAAAGAAAAAAGAAACAATTCTAGTTACTCCCCTGGCAAACCTTCCCAGCTCCACAGAGGAGTTAGTCTGACCTCACTACAGGTCAAGACACTCACTGTGGTTTATTACTATGTATCCTATCATGTGTGCTGCTTAATAGCTTATAGCTTCTGTATTGCCTCTCCTAGATTGAGTCCTTTGGGTTTAGGAATTCAGCAATTTACAGAAAAATTATAATAAAAGTTTGTTAAAAGATTATGAAGAGTGGGATATAAGGGGCTTGCCTCAGTTCTGACAAAGTCAGTTTTCTACTGTGACTGAAAAATGAGTAGTCTTAAAATTGGATACCAGGGGCTGGAGAGATGGCTCAGTGGTCTAAAGCACCTACTTAGAACAAGCTTGGCAAAGCATCAGGGACCGCGGTTCAATCCCCCAGCACCACATGCCAGCCAGCCCCGCCCCCTGGTGGGCTGAGCTGGCCACACACACTCTCTCTCTCTCTCTCTCTCTCTCTCTCTCTCTCTCTCTCTCAAATAATAAAAAAATAAAAAATAAATAAAAAAATTA